ACTATGAACCACATATTTTACTTTCAACTTCCAGCAAACAATTTTATTTGGCAACTTAGTAACCAAAATCAATATGACCCGGGAAATCAATTCAATTTTTCATCTACTTTTTTTTACTTTTTACTTTTTTATCTGTGTATCTTTTATCTATAATCTTTTCCACTTTATTGCTAGTCTTCAAAATAAAGGTTTGTGGACAAAACCACAGGCTGATACTAGTCCTAAACAAAGCAGCCACAACAAATATCGCTGAAGGGTTTTTACGGGAAATTAGTTATTTTTGCTGTAGGCGGAACGAAAAGATGACCTTAATTTGACATTTAACTTTGGTTCATTTAGTATCCTTGTTGAGAGAGTAACCTCTTTTTTCAAGCCTTTGTGTGTTTACAGATTTAGGGGTAGTGTTTGTTCCATATAAGCTTATTAAATTACAATTTTTTAGAATTATTTGTTTGGTAATGATACAAAACATAAGTAACAAACTCGACTTTCCTTTTTAAACACTCATAGAAAGAAATCAAGATGTTTAGAACATTATCAGGGAAGGTAAAAAACGTAGCTACCTATATTACATTATATTGCTTAATTGTCTTGTTTATATAAGGTGGCGAAACAAAAAAGCGATTTTGTTTGGCTTTGCGAATAGGTACTACTAATTCCTATCGCGCTCATGTCTGATAAGTCCTTACGTGGAGCGAAATTGGTCGAATTACCATGTAAAATATTTTCGTCAATAGGCCACAAAAGAAAATAAATATTAGCAGTGGGCCATTACAGACTGATAATCAGTCTATAATGGCCACAACTGCTTATTTTACTACTTTATTATATTCACTTCTACTCAATCTATCATAAATACCAAAGATTTCAAAAGTCTATAAAGGCCCACTGCTAAGCAAAGGTCTTGCTTGGGCAAACCAAGGGTGATGAACCATTTCAAATGTGTGAACAGAAATTTGAGTCTTGGCTTTCTCTAGATGTTTTCCACCGCCAAATGCCAGTGTTGTCTAAATAAATTTAAAAAGTACAACAGATAACTCGAAAAATTCATACTGGAACTTGCCAGGTTTTAAATCTTAACGCAAATGAAGCGAATACCAACTAGGCCTTGAGGGTCGAGATATTGGTGCCACGTCACAACACGAACTTCAAGTTGTTCGTGGTGCGTGTTCCGACACACCATCTCGAGTAGTTCCTCAAGGAAGAGTTCTGGCCGAAGGGTGTCGTGTATCACCGGTTTCGTGGCCGTCTACATGACATTAGTTAGCGAAACATGACGCCGACACTTTATACGCAGTCTGTATATAATATAAATATCAATGCCACTTTTCTTTGTAAAGTTAAACTTTACAATGCCTTTACCGATTAGGCTAATTTTGAGTAGGTTTGTACGTAGAGAAAATAAAAAATAATATAAAAAAGTGTAAATTGACATCCATGCAGGCGGAGCCGTGCGCGACCGCTAGTAGTTTTATAGTTAAATATTTTGTAATTTAAATTTATATTTATTTTAAGTTTTACATGGTTTATATTCGATTCCTGAAATAAAAAGATAAATTAAAAGAATAGCCTCCGGTATTGTTGACAAAGTGCATGTATTGTTTTTTCCACTTCAAGGGTTAAATTGTAAATGACTTAGTTTTGCTAATGGCACTCTCTTTACGTCCGTACTCAGATTAGGTTGTGTTACGTATTGCCCTAGAATTTGACGCAAATTTTTACAAAAGGATGACGCCCACTCATATTCGATCAATGCGACTTTTGTGACGGAATAAAGGTCATGATAATGCTTAAAATATTTTTTACTTTCTATTCAAACCTTTTTATTGAATGAATTGTAACAAACTGAATCGGAACCATTAGGATTTGTTCAAATGCTTATGTAATTCTTAACTTTTTAATGGGGGGATTTGTTGAAAGGGAAGATGTGAAATGCGTGAAGAATATGATTTATTATTTGCGTATGCATTCAACAATATTAACATTTAAAGTCATACGTCTTAAATTCTAACCATGGATTTAGTAAGCGTGAAAAAAGATATGCATATGGCAGAAATAATGCAGAGCTCTGAATAAATCAGAACTTTTTAATGGCGATCTCCAACCTACCTAATAAGAGAGATTCTAGTAATCCTTCTGATGTAGACGAGGTTTAGAGTCCAACTGTGGACAGTCTCATGTCCTTAATGGTATTCAGTCTCTGTCAAATGAGTACTGAATTGTAATATGCATAGTAACATATGGTCTGCTGTCAGGATCGCAGTCCTTTAGGACATCACAATCACAAGACTATATGTACAAAATGCTAAGCAAAGGTCTATCTGGCGAAGTTTGACCATTGATCACGACGCTTGCTAATGACAGATAGGCGATTCTTATACTTGCAAATTATAATTCTACATTTATTCACGATGTTTTTCTTCACCGTATGTCAGTGGTGTTTAAATTACATAGAAAGTTCACAAAACTTGGAAAAAGTCGCATTAACATTTTTAGGTTTAAAACTCGCACCCTTATGCATAAGTCGGAGCACCGTGACAATGCCTATAGCATCCACCAAATAAGACCTAAGCGTTTTTACCTTAAAGTTTTACTGAAACATACAAAAACTCGAACAAAACATAACCCTACTTTTTCGACAGTAGGGTAAAAACAAATTCATACATAGATATATCTCGAGAGAATATTAGAATACCTAAAACTGGTCTGAAGAACACGAGAGTATCTTTCAACGACGTGGGAAATAATGTGGGATAAATAAGAATTTACATACAATTTTGTTCAAGATTTCCAATTTGTGTTCAAAAATGGCTTATTGAAATCTATTGTACTTGAGAATTTTTAGCAAATATTCGTTTGAGGTCATAAAAGTTATAGTTAATGAGAATGGTGCTGAGGCTCTAATTAGATAGATGCAGAGGCACCGAGGTCTTTTAGAAGGATTTATTTTGATATTTTTAATATTTTAAACCAAAATCACCCTGGTTGCCACTCTTAGCACCTGTAAAAGACACCGGGTCCTCTTAAAGACCTGTTTCGAAATCCACATGGTGTAACGCCTCTTACAATATTTCTCTAGGAATTCTAGCGTCTTTCTCGAGCCTCATTGTACACGGAGGCACGGCTGCAATGCCACAGTCTTTCCTGAGGTTACTGGTTCGGCGCCTAGAAGGAGTGGCGCTCTATGTGCCTATAACTTATACATCACTTATATTGACCATACTATAAAAAAGAATTTTCATAATATTGAATTACCAAAAACAAACACTATAGCTGTGAATCATTTTAAGAATCAATTTGTGATAATTGACAGACAACGACGTGATCCTTTTGCCAATTTTGTTCGAAACTGATGAATCCACAGTCAATCTTTTTCGTGTGAAATTTGATCATGGATGTTATGGATGTGTTCAAAAAGGGTTCACCCTTTCACATATTTGCCGGTGTGAAGGAAGACCAATTTTTTACCACTCATGCTAATATGGGATTTACAGCCTACTTGATACGGCAAATAAACCCTCTTCTCTCGATTCCTCTTTAAACATTACTCAAACTAAGTAGCATTATTTATGTTATGTTCAGAAGCATAAATGCCATTTTAATTCTACTTAATTTCCACAACAAGTAATAACGCCAGGCAACATAATCGTCAATCATTTTTGTTGTTTTTATACTTTCAAAAAAAACTTGACCTAGATTCTCCAAAACGTTTTCAACCCTCTCGTTACCGAAAAGACATCAGCATCTTTCCATTCTACCTGTTTAGTATTCCAGAACAATTTACTCCGTACATTATACGTATCTCATTGCTATTTGTATTCAACATGAGTTTTGCAATGCGAAAGAAATACTTTAATGTATTTTTCTACGGATTTTCTCTTATTTGGTTCAAAGGGTACAAATGTAACAAAAGGGGTAATCAACGGTTGGTACTTATACCTACATATAGAATATAAGTCGTCTGGCAATGATAACAGGCCCAGCAGTGCTAATCGTCTTCTGTGACAATAATCTGCTTCTTTCAAAGACTTCTTTCTACTTCTTTGAAAGGCTCAGTTAGGAGAGCTTTTTCGAAAAACTAGAACATATTAAAAAAAAAATTATAAATGAAAAAAAAATGTTCTAACATTATTATAAGTTGGTCATATCTTACTAGGTTTAAATTTTGGACAGTACTGCAAATTTTCGGAAGCTAACTAGCTGGACTAATAGATCAACAAATTTCATGTATACTTCGATTTTGTTCTATTGCTATAGGCTGCTTTTTATCAACGCAGCACGCGGGCGAAGTCGCTGGGGGAAGATAGTAGATCAATAAGATAGCACATGGATAAAAACATTAATCACCTACGTAAATGGGGTGATCTCATTAAAACCTTTCACATAATTACTAGGATTTTGAAATCATTTTTATATGTAGGTATACTTTCATAAACACACACCTATCTACAGTTTAGTACCTACGAACCTGTTTGTTTTTTCTTTTATACTTCACACAATAGGTTTTGATCCCAAACGTACTTCTATAAAAATTTTGATCTTAAAAAGTCATGTACAGTACATGGTCTTACAGAGATCTTTATTGTTTTTAGTGTACAAAAGATATGTAGGACATTGTTAGGTTTAGAATGTGATAAAACACAATGCCTGTCTTATCTAAGGAAACCACGCCCACTTCAAAAATGGCGTCTTTCGTGGATGTCGAGATTACATTTAGAAAGCATTTGTTCTACTAACATTACCTGCCTAATACATACATGTTGGTACAAGATGAAGCAAATTATCCATCGATTTTAATATTTTTGTAGCTTTTCATCCAAATAATGTTTTATAGGGTAACTATTATTACTTTGTTTATATATTATTGTGAAGGAAAAATTGATTTATTTAAAAAACACAAAAGAAAATAAAAATTCGGTTTCTCATTAAACACAAATACGCGTGCTTGAACATAGTTCTAATAAAAATAATTTGTAATTATTCCTTTTCTTCTTACACAGATCCGTACGTCAAGATCTGCCTGATATGCCAGGGCAAGCGCATCAAGAAGAAAAAGACGACGGTCAAGAAGAATACTCTGTCACCAGTCTACAACGAGGCCTTGGTCTTTGACCTTCCAGCAGAAAACGTTTATGACGTCACATTGCTTGTTAAAGTCATCGACTATGACAGGTAAGTTCTAGAACATATAGGTAAGAATGCATTGGATGTAATACGGCTTTAAACGCTTTCAATAATTATACAAAAATGGATCCTTATTACAAAAGTGATAAAGGCCTTGTTAGCCAAGCAGCCTTAATAACTTGGTTATCATCATCATCATAATCCCTTTGCTACCCGACTGTTTAGAAATGGCTTCTTCTCGCATAGATACAGAATGTCTATTACTGACCGTGTTTACTTGGGGGGGTATCACGATTCCAAACTTTAAATTTGAAATTATAAGCTTAGGTTTCCTCAAAATGTTTACCTTACCTCGTTTCTTCGTTGATTATTTGTCGTGGTATCTTAATAGTCTCAGAAAACATGTTGATATCTCAGAAAAAGTCTCAATATTATCTGTCAAGTTTCGAATCTCTCGGTAACGAAGAAGATATGTAGAAACGAATAAAATCATTTGCCTATGAAATGTAATGACTAGAGCAAGCCCTGCCTAACTATTTCAATAATGGATGTTTTAGAATGCTATTCAGCGCAAAAGTAATCAACGAATTCACTATTTTACGCTAGCTAGATTTGAGAATGTCAAGCGCAATGAAACTAGCCTGTAGATGATTGAAATCAATTTGGACATGACTAACGAAGGAGAAAATTATCAAAATTGACCAATCAAGTTACGAGTTAATTTCAAATTATTTTTATTTCTTTTTGTTGATCAAACTCATAGCTAATTTAGAAGTTAGTCCAGACTGTATATAAACAATCTCTTTTACAATAACTCAAGACGTGATTGTCGGCAAAATAAACGAAATAGTTTAATCTCGAAGTTCATGAACTTTAACTTTATCAAAACTTAATTTAATATTGAAAGTTGATGAAGTTATGTCGGTTCTCGATTTAAACACTTCGTTTCTGAAAGTTTTTGCAACAACCACCTTAAGAAGTTTGAACGCTTTTGAGTTAGGTTCAATGATCGGGGATTAAGAAGCCAAGATTACTTTGGTTATTTTGTGATTTTCAAAAATGAATCTTGTTTTGAAAGTTTTATAGTTATTATTTACTAGCTGTGCCCGCGACTTCGTTCGCGTGGTTGTCGAAAACAAAACAACATCGTTTAGATAACAGTAGGCTATACACATATAAACTCCACTCAAGGAAGAATTTTTTTTGCTATTTAAGATCCTGACTGTAGTATATATTTATCTAGTAATATTGGTATAGCTGATTACGTTAATGCTTCCCTATATACTATATTAGCGGTGGAATTACCCGGAGCATATACAAAAAGGTTGTTTGGGTTGCTAACACGTGATAGAGAAACATAAAGTCCGCCGTGTGAAAAACAATCAAAAGTAACGTCATGGGGTAACAGACCCTTACAGGGAATTGCACATTTATTGCGTTGGAGATTTGTGTCTCTCAGCCGTGTACCATTACAAACTTTTGGAGGACTTACATTTCTGAGTAGAATGATTGGTGGAGTACCAAATAAATTTTGTGTGCTGGAACACCTGGTGTCATTAGAGAGTCTAAAAACTCTACTGGATAGTGGGTGGCATCTCCTTCTTCCAAAACCGTGTTAATAGATGAATATTCCCTACTTTCTCCAGAAAAATGTACCAATATTTGAGAATTGATTGCTGCTGCTTGGTCATTGCGAAGTGCCAAAGTAGCTCGTTGGCATAGCCAAACAGTGTCATGGTTCGAGATCTCTGATGGATCTCCGTATACAGAAGAAATGAGTTCTTGCTGTGAGGCAACAGAAGAACACAGGCTCTCGACTTAAGTTACTTTACCACCTTTTTGAGTCGTGTATGTACCATTACCAATTTGAAGTAGTAAATTTGGGAAGACCTGCGCGTTTGCGTCACCTCCCAAATATGCTCACATATTAAAGCTCAAATTGGATGATATGATACTACGCCATAAAAAAGAGCTCTTTAAACATATACCTATTTCATCGGCCCTCGTTCCTCTGGGTATTATAGGGAGTGTCTGCCTAAAGTCTCCACAGAATAGCACCATTAAACCCATCGGTCGGTCATTTTGTCTTTTGTCTCGCAACGTTCTATCTACAGCTTTCATAACTTTATCACTATTGTGAGAGATGTTGCAAACAGGGTTTTTCTGTGCGCTCCAAGTCGATTGGTGTTTTAAATGTTTTATTTGTAGTTTTTTTTTTAAAGTGGCTGCAATTCCTGAGGAGGCCACCGCAAGGGCAATTTTGTTTTGGCTCCTTATTTGAGCCAAGATAACTTTGGTGAGGAAAGTTTTACCTGTTCCACCAGGTGCATCTAAAAACAATATTTTTCCTAAAGAATTTTCTACACTACAGCATACTCTATCAAATATTTGACGCTGTTCTGACGTCATATTTGAACAACCATTTAGCCCTATTTCTGCTAACTCCTCAGGGTTGTAATTTATTTCCGATGCACACTCCCTAATTATGGGTTCCCCACCAACTGTCGGCGTTGGCAAGCCGTATTGACTAAGAAGGTTCCCTCCTATACTTTTAACTATATCTTGTATAGCTAGCATAACTTAGGTATTATGGCAGTTTTCCCGTACTTGGTCAATAGTTTCTCTATTACTATTTTCCTGTCTGAAAAAATCTTCGGCAAACGCGTCTTTATATTTTTGCCACAACTGCCCAGCGTCCGATATAGCCACAAAATGTCTATAAAACAAACAAATGACGAAGATGATGTGGACTATCGATGACGCATGCTTCGGCTAAAGCATCATCCCAATGCTGATCGCCATCTAATAAAGGCCGTGCGCGGCAAGCAGCCTGAAATAAGGGATATTCTATATCGTCCACTTCGCGGAGATCAGTAAAAGAAGTAGGCCCTCGCACTATGTGAAGAAGAAGGCGTAAATAATAACACTCTGCATTAATTGGGTGCACCGTGTACACTCTTCCAATCACGTGTTCTTTAAAAATGCCTGGCTCACCTTCTACAGCAGTTTAAAAATACCTTGCTGCTTGTTGTAGTATAATAATGTGGCACTTCATTGTACAACAGAGACTTGACGAAATTGTCTCTTTCGCAAAGGCAAAAAATCCCTAAATCTCCAAATCCTTAATCCCTAAAAGTAACTCGTAACTCATCCGTTGCGGGTGTCAATGGGCGGCGCTGATTGCTTACCATCAGGTAATCCGTCTGCTCGTTTGCCGATCAATTACATAAAAATAAAATGCGAGCAAGGTGGTTTATTTATTTAAAATTACGAAAATGGGTTCGGTTAGTTATACTTTAACGCGCTGGCTATTTTTTTTGTCAATTTTTTCAATGTACAAAAATTACTTTTCTACAGATTTATTATATGTATAGATTTATATAAGTATATTTTAATTCAGGTATAGTCTTCACTTTGTGAGACAATGAAGAGATGGTCAGACAGGTTACGTGCTATTTATTTATTTATTTATACTTCATGCACAATTTAATATGTACATCAGGCGGACTTAATGCACTGAGCATTCTCTACCAGTCGACCTTTGGGTGATGCAGAGAATCCAATAGTAGATGCAAGACGTGTTACTGATTGTTAAACAAACATCTAAGAGCAATATTTTTTCGTATTTTGCGTGCACTATTTAGAACAAAGAGCAGCATCTTAAACTTTAAAGTACTAGTACTAGTAACCTTTGTTCAGCAAATAAAGCGATGTGATTTGATTGCATGATTGGTTGTTGACTTGAGAGGCTTTTAAGGGTCAATATAATTATCTCTATAATTATGCTGTTTTTAGTGAGCAAAGAATGTCTTTTGTCTTTGTCAGACGTCATCAGTCTAGTAACTGTCCCACTTACTAATACGAACAAAATCAAGGACCCGAATAGAATCAAATCACGCCGAAACGAAACCCGCTAATGCAATACCTGTCCTGTCAAGTAGAACATAAACTTGTTTTTTGAATACCGCTTCTAGGCACAGTATGAAAAGATCCTAACTCATGTCCATTATCCAACCTAATCGAAGTGCAGCCAATACATAGATACTATCTAGCTCTCTCTCTCTCTAACTCAACACATAGGTCCCATATATTACGGATACAAGTTCCTGTGGCTTTGACGGCCCCGTTCCATCAAGCATCGTACGGTCCAATCTCAATATTGGACGGAATTTCCAAGAATTTAAATTTTCTAGTCCAGTAATCCAGAAGCCGGAATTTACGAGTACCTATGTATACTTACTTATATTAGAAAATTTCAAGTTCAAACGGAATTGTAATTAATTTTCGAGTACAGTTAATTACGTTGATATGAAATATTAATTTCGATTATATTGGATGCTTCGTTATTTGAGTTGTACCTAATTTTTAATGTTAGGCACGAGTTTTCAGGTTTGATTATAAGACTTGGTATAACAGCGTATGTCAAATTCAACGACGAAAGTCAATTCATTTATTTCAATAGGACATATTAAGAAATAATAGTCTTTTAGTCTGTCCATGTATGGCTGCACGGTTGGCGCAGTGGCTGGACAACTGGCTGCTGGGCAACGTGTCGCGGGTTCGATTCCCGCACGGAACAACACTTTGTGTGATCTACAAATTGTTGTTTCGAGTCTGGGTGTGTTGTGTATGTGAATTTGTATGTTTGTAAACACACCCACGACACAGGAGAAAATCCTAGTGTGGGGCAACGTTAAAAAAAATGTTCGTCAATGAAGCTAGATTCTCATTTCATTCGAATCGAGAAGGATAGGGATGAAACTCCGTCTCTTTACGAACCTTCAAACATTTTATAAAAAATAAACGTTTAACATGTTTATCAATACATAATTTAGTACATATTTTTGTACCCATAAGTGAGAGCAAGTTGTTAAAAAAACAAACGCTGGGATTAATTCCTTATTAATTTACAGATTGGAGTGATGTATAAGATACGGTTTAATAATGTAATTATAATTAGCAGCTGCTTCAGAAAATATAAGCCCACTTGACATTTACTAAGTATTTAGAAAAACATGTGTTAATAATTTACCTATGTTTAATATATTTGGGAGAATGTGACCTTTACAGGAAAATTAATTTAAAAATTTTCTTTTTTCCGTCGTAGTACGAGTATTTTAATAAACTGTGATTTCCAAATGAATGCTTTGATTTTAATTTTCCTTAGAGCAATCTCGATGTGCTAGGGGGCAAGCCATTTAAATTGTAACATGATGATGATGATGATGGTGATGATAATGGTATTGACCATGCCTCTAGTTTACTCTCAAAAAAAAAAAAAAAAAAAAAATTACACTAGCGACATATGATAATAGGAATGAAAGATGAAAGTAACAAACCATCCAGCTAGTATCAGGTATCCAGATCCAGTTCTTAACAATGATCCCAAAGATGATCTTCTTTCAATCCTTGTAAGATATTAGCAATATTGAGAAATTTAATTTAAAACAAAAAAAATGTGATAACAATCTTTGTCACCAGAATTGGTCCCAACGAGCTGATTGGCTGTTCCGCAATTGGCTCCACTTTGATTGGCATCGGACGCGACCATTGGCTGCAGATGTTGGACAACCCTCGCAAACCAGTGGCCCAGTGGTATCCCCTGAACAAGAGCCCTCCGGCTAACATCACGATACCGAGCAATGATGCCCAAAATTCTGGACTAAGCTGCTTGAATGGAAGGTGAGGTCACACGTGATTTGCATTTTTTAGCATGACGACCTTTTACTTTCATTTTGTCCTTAAGATTTCTAGAGTTCCTTTCTTTTATTTAGGTTGTTTGTTATGTGATATACATCATCAGCCTATAAGTACCCACTGCAGAGCAAAGGCCTCTTCTTATACGGAGAAGGTTAGAGCATTAACCACCACGCTTGCTCAATGCGGGTTGGCGATTTCAAACTTATAATTAGAAATTATAAGTCTTGTTTTCTCACGATGTTTATGTTGTGTAAGTGGTGTCTAAATAATCATAGAAAGTACATATAACTCGGCAAAAGTCACATTGGTACTTGCCAGGTTTCGAACCCACACCCTCGTGCATGAGAAGCGGGCTCCTTATCCTCCGGGCCACCACGACACTTTTAACATGTAATATACTACACTATGTAAATTTTATCTCCTAATTGTTTATTGTAACCTCAGCGTATTTTTCATTTTCAATCCTTATCAAAAAATATTATACGGAAAACCAATCTACATCAAAAATAATAGCTTATAAATATGTATAGAATCGAAATACATTCTATGTGTACCCATTGGTTACACAAACGATATGCACAAACATTCAGACAATCTACAAACATTATATACGGAGATAGTACAAATATTTACCTTACGGTCCTGCATTGATTGCAATATCCACTATCTTCAATATTTTTGTAAGCGAAATTGTGGTGTAAATAATTACTACGAATATGTTTGCTATCAATAAAGACCTCCTTTAAATTTGACAATAATCTTTTTGGTGTTATTCTTGGTCATGATCTTCAACATAATATAGTGTCCATTAAATAAGAGGGATTTAAATAAACAGTAAATACCGTTAGGCTCTTGTGTAGGGTTCCTTAGTAGTGGGTGGCTGGCAGTGGTTGAATGAAAAGAGCCAAACATGAAGCTCAGTGGCATGCAATTAGGAAAGCCTATGTCCTCCATGTCCTGCAGTAGACGGAATCGGGCTGATGATGATGATGAAGAAGAAGAGGGATTCCCATTATGTCCACGCTTTTAGTCATCTCTTACTAATCCAAAGGAAAGATTAAGCGTACACACAAATGTGTTTACACCGCTGTTTCAAGGTCACCACATTCATATGCAGTCTATAGACATGTATACAATGCGATATTTGGTGGGCTATCAAAAAATTCCGAACCATTCGTTGTTTTAGGTTGTCAGATACTTCTCTGTTTTAGTTCGTTACACTTGCAGCTGTTTTCATTTTCGGTTTCGTTTTATTTTTCAACGTTGTTAATTGTTTCTTTCTTTTTCTGGATTTTTGTTGGGCGTTTGCATTTGCTGGAATTCACAAATCGTTAGTTTGTTGATATCTCCAGCTCAACTGTTAGACCGCGTAAATGTACTTTAAGGACTTTTGATTGTTGATATTCTTAGCGAACAATAAAACGAAATCTTTTGTAGCTATTGTATGAGTAGTAATAGGCAGGCTTGCCCGGATTAATAACAAGAAGGTTAGAGCTGATACCGGGGTTATTACAGAAAATCAACGTAATACCACTCTTGTTTTATAATTTGCACTGCGAATGAGGTAACGGGAGGCCTAATCCATTCCCCCAATGCCTTAACCCCTCATCATAGAATCCTCGCTCTAACTCTCAAAAGGCTGGCCACTCTCTTTTAAAACCTCGATGTTGCAGTGATGGCCCCGATTGCTTAATTGTCGAACTATGTTCTCGTTTACCAACCTGTATCCCATTAAAACTAATAACTTAACAGGCAAAAACCTATAGACGGCTATAAAGGCTATAAATTTCAATTCATTCCTATTCCTACCTATCCGTTCTATAATAAAACAAACAGACAACTCCTAAAAGTAATTTGTTTTGTTAAATCTCTAGTGAAACTATCTGCTAAGCTTCTTGATCTTCGTCTCCGTCTACACAATCATTGTTTATGTTCAGTGCAGCTATTTGCAACTACATAAGGCTTATCCTTAAACTCAAGGTCATCGACATTCAATTAATTAACTAGCTTTACAAACTTTTTGTTCCTAATATATTGTACACTAAATCAATTTATTGAGACTAGCACTTTCCCTCTGTGTTGTTCTATTTCATTCTTAATTGTCATGTCAATAGGGGAAGATTTCTTCCAATTGAATGCACTCTTGGCTCAATGGCTAGGCTACCGGCTACTGTGCAACGTATCACAGTTTAGATACCTGCACGGAACATGTTTTTGTTAGGATTCATTTTGTTGAAGAAAGTTTATAAATGAGCCCACGATGCTTGAAGAAACCCGGGTGTCGGGCAAGGATTAATTAATAACGAAAAAAAAAGAACTAGGCATTGAAAGTCCATTGTTTGATTATGTGTTGCTTGGCAGGATGGTTGAAGATTCTTCTTTTAAAATAGTCACATTGACACACGAAAATGCTGATTCCGTTCACTGATGGACACAGGCCTCTCCAACAGCACGCCACTGAGCTCGATGTTCAGCTCTTTTCATCCAACCCCTGCCAGCCACCCTGCGGATATCGCCAGTCCGTTTAGATTGAGAGCGCCTTACACCACGTTTGCCTGGATCTGGGTCTCCATTCTAAAACGCGTCTCTCTCAACGGTCATCGGTTCTATGACAAATGTGATCTGCCTACTGCCACTTCAGTTTGATAATCCTTTGCAAATTTACAGAAATGCCGAATTAAAACTGAAAATTACACCTTAAAAATCACTTTACCTTATTCATATTTTATTTTTTTCGTACCCTGTCATCTTTACTTAAGCAAAGTTGCTTTTAAAAACCGTTTAAAATGTTTTATAATCCTACTTTAGTTAAATTTATCATCCTTTTGCAGATGAAGAGATGAAAGACAAAGGACTGAAGATTATTACCATCAATTAACGGTGTCGACTTTAATGACGAACATTTAGCTGGTTTACTCGCGATGCCAAATCGTCTTATAATCGTAGTAAGTAATAATAAAACGGTTGTATGTCCATTTACCGTAGAAAAGAAATGATTAAAAAAAATCAATGTTCAGTGATATTGACATGTAGAGAAAGTATTATCTCAAGGCGAAATTATATATGTAGAAATAGATATAATATGTTGATGTAGAAGAAAATGAATTTATCCAATAGAAATTCTAATTGTTTATAGATCGAATATTATTTGTAGTTTGTAGTTTTGGAATAATCCAATGTTCTCATATCATTCTCATGCATTTCCTACGTCTGTACTTTACTGACCATGTATTTTATCAAACTATATACACGATGTTATTTCTATTTGTACCTTGGAATACGCACACTTCAAATTCAAGACTTGTCACACATGTACATAATACAATATACTTATTAATGTTGTATAGTTGTTGTCTTTAACGATACGCGTATTTAAAACCTATCGTCATATCTTGTAAAACTTGATACGTTAATCTGAATTCAAAGTATATATTCAGCAGAGTTGAAATTCCTTTAAAACAATGAATGTTACAAACATTCTTTTGTCGGGACAATAATGTAGTTGGAAATAAATATATATGAATATGTATGCAACAATCTATATCAATGTTTTCAGAGTAACAGCACAATGTATGAAAAATATCATTTGTTATATATTATAATATTATATGTTACTTGAAATTGTAAGATGAAAATGAAGCTTTAAATCGTTTTAAAATTAAAATATATCTAAAATATAATATCATGTATTTAACGTATGTATTATATATGGATAAATTTAAAAGTACATTAATATAAAAAAATGTTTATTGGAAAATGAACATTATAGGTTGATTTATAGAGCTGTCAATCTATATTTTGCATGTGAAGGAATATGTGAAATACTTTACAGCGTGGCTCTGCCGTCGCGCGTCGATTTTAAAAGATTATCTTTGAATTGACATATTTATTACTGTGCACAAAAAGCACGAACCGAATCGTGTTTTTTAAAATTGAAAGATTATTGTAAAAATAATTTATTTCTATTCAATTCAATTCATACCCTATCTTTTTCAATTGAATGTAGCTTAAATAAAACTTTGATATTATTCAATTATATTATTACGGCTATTTTACGAAAACTGTATGTTCTGGAAAGTATTTATTGATGTATACCTTATATACTTAGATTTAAGATTAATATTAAGGTTAGATACCCTCTCTACGCTGCTAATTTTCTACTGTTGTTGTATTGTGTCATTAAAAGTTTAAGATTTTCCTATGAAAGATGATGATATTTTTCCTACGACTTTCAATGATAAAATGGTTCTGCGCGAATTTTGTGACGAACGGAATCGGAAAGTAATTATTTTGTGATGACGTAGTAAACCGGCGTTCAAGAATTTTTATCCACTTAATTGATTAAATACAAAAACATTGAACATTTTGTAAAATGTAAATAATTATATAAATGCATTTTGTTTTGAATATAAAAAAAAACTTTCTATTTAATCGAGAATTTTCCTCGAAATGTTTTTCCGTTTTTGCCAAAATATATCGCGTTTACGAGATACCCCGAGGCCATGTAAAGTTACCTTCCGTGGCTCATTGTTGCGAGAGCAAATTTATGACAAAAAATTTTTTGTTCTTTTGAAGTAATTTTCTAAACAGTTGCACACTTCAGTGCACATAAAAAGGATATCTTTCGTCAGACATTCTGGTCGTTGACCTTTGTAAAAATATTTTGGACGAGTAACAATTACATGTTCTTTTAAACATTATAATGGAAATGACAGTACAAGAGATGGTTGAATGAGAGGCAATATTTTTGTATGAGATTAGGATACTTGTCGTAAATGTTGCTAAGTCTTTATACTGTAAAACTGTTTAGAATTAAGTGAATGTAAGTAATTATACTGATTTATGAATAAAATGTTGACATTTTTAAAAGTCTTTTCGTTTTATTTGACATTTATCACATTGACACTTTTTTAACTCTATCAATCATTAATAAGAGAGACACCAACCATTTTGAGTTAAGAAGCCTCGGGTTTTGATTCCTGAGTT